TGCAGCCATTTTAGAAAAAATAAGCAACTCTTCCCCAGACTCCCGGAATGTTTCAAAGCCAGAGCTCCTAGGAACACCCTACCCATATGTTCCCTGAACCAGGGATATGCCTGTAATCCTGATGGGCCCTAGAGGTGAGCCCTGGGCAGCAGCCCGGACACAAACATCAATCAGAAGAGAATGGTCACTTCCCCATTTCAACTATACTGATAAGGCTAAGAAAAGCCTTCTGCAACTCTGTGGGAGCGAGCTGACTCCTGGTTAGACTCTGTTCTCCTCTTCCCTCTAAAAACCTTTTTCTTATCCCAGGACTGGCCTCTTTCTTGTGGACACTCACCCCGTCTCTATGCTTAAACCTCTCTTAAATAAAGGATTTGGGTTTCTTTCTCCCAATCTATGAGCCAGAAATATTAAAAAATATATAATATATATATAATCTCTTCAAGAGAACATTTGCAGATTATTTTTGCCCTTTGGTTAAAATAAAATTAATGTGCCAAAGCCACTATAAAATTCTCAGTCTCCAGCCCTTCCTAGTTCAGTATCTTGAAATAGTGCAGTGTTTACCATGTTACCGAAAGTTTTTTTCCTTCCATTGTTTATTGGAATATTGTATATTTTTATTGTATATATATATATATTTTTTGATACAGAGTCTGAAGCTGTCCCCTGGGTAGAGTACCATGGCATCACAGCTCACAGCAACCTCCAACTCTTCGGCCCAAGCGATCCTTTTGCCTCAGTTTTTCTATGTTTAGTAGAGACGGGGTCTCGCTTTTTGCTCAGCCTGGTCTTGAACTCATGAGCTCACCTACCTTGGCCTCCCAGAGTGCTAAGATGGTTTATGTTTTTATATTTAAGAAGCTTGCTGTTATTATTATCACCTGGTAAGTAGATACTAAAGGAAAATCCCTACTGTTATCACTGAAGCCACATTTTCCTCCAAGACTGGCCTTGACTGAATTTTATTTCAAATGTAAAATAGCTCCCCCCAAACTAAAAGGGCAGATTACTCGGCAGGTACGGATTTATTTATCAGCCTTACAGCTGAGATCAAGACGACTTCCAAAACGTGTGAGAATTCAGGGCTTTGGGAATTCAAACCATCTCCACAGTTCTTGGGAAGATGTCTTTGGCTGACTGTAGGCCGGCCATACCTAGAACTTGAAGCTGTCCACCAAGATCGATCTCTCTCTCTCTCTCATACACACACACACACACACACACACACAAACTGTCCTCACCGCATGCATGACCCAAACAGCTTTTCCTTGACCCAAACAGCTTTTCGCTCTCAGTTTTTGTAGCCAGATCACTCTACTGGCAAAAATCCCAAGTATCATAAAAGCTTACATTCCTTCATTGCTAATCGAAGAACGAGGAAAAGCAACCTTATGGGGTAAATTGCAAAGCGGAATGCATAAGAGAGATGGTAAGATTATTAATGTGAGTAATCCAAACATATATGAGATTTGAGCGCGCAGAAAATCAGGATCAAAACAATAGAGAGAGGTGGTGTGAGGAGCAAGCTTTCTAAACTCTGATGAGCCACTGTTATTCAGTAAGGGAAAGAAGAAAGTGAGAGTGATTAAGCTTTGGTCTGCTGTTTTCGTCCTTAGCTGTCCCTGGCTGGGGCCATTGTATTCAACGATGCGTAGTCTAGTTTGCAGTCCTGGACTTGCCCACCAAACCCAAACTCACCTTTTCCGGACGCCGGGAAGCTACATAGCCATTGCCAGCAAGAGCGACAGACTCCCAGCGCGCAGGCGCGGAGGTTAACGCCCCCCCGCCCCGCCTCCGGCGAAGAGCTACGTTCTGCGCAGGCGCAGACCTCTGACCACCGCCCCCGCCCCCCCGCCGCCCCGCCTCTAATCTCTGGCTGTGAAAGCAAAGAAGCTGCTCAGTCGTCGCGTGTTTTTGACCCACGACCTCGTCGCGTTGTCTGACGCGACGATTACGTCACTTCCGCCCCCTCCTGGGAGGCGGCGCTGGGCCGGTGGCAAGCCCCCGGAGGGAGCCGCAGTAGTACGACGGAAGATGGCGACGAGCGGCGGTGAAGAGGCGGCGGCAGCTGCGCCGGCGCCTGGGGCCCCGGCGACGGGAGCAGACACGACCCCGGGCTGGGAGGTGGCGGTGCGGCCCCTGTTGTCCGCGTCCTACTCCGCCTTCGAGATGAAGGAGTTGCCGCAGCTGGTGGCCTCAGTCATCGAGAGGTACCGGGCGGCGGCTCCGGCGGGGCGGCGCAGTGGGGGGAAGGGGGAGAGGAGGTCTAGCCGGCTCATCTGGACCCGCTTCCTCGGTCTTCTGCTGCCTCTTGAGGACCCCTGCCTCAGCCACGGCTTCGGGGCTCCCGGGCCCTGAGAGACGAGGGCTTATCCGGGGTTCCTTCTGCCAACCTATAGAGATAATCTGTGCCTCAGTTTCCCCTCTCGAACAAAACTTTTGAGTCCGCCCTCTAAGGAGGGCGTGGCCAGACGCGTTTGAGAGTGACTTTGACATGCATCGCGCTCTTCAGGGAACGTTTGCAGGGCTGCCCCTTGTGTTAAGGTCAAGGCACAGATGAGTTTGCATTTCTCGCCCGCGCTCATCCCCGTAGCCCGGGCCTGAGCGGAGCCTGGGGTTTAAGTCGGAGACCTACCACATAATTTAGTAACGGTTTTTCACTGGGGGCACGTGCTGTTTCTGGGACTGAAGCCACTAGTTACTATTGATGACTTTCTTTTTATGTTGCATTCTTTGTACATTTCCCTCCTAAGGGGTCTTTGATTAAAAACATTTTAGTGCATGAGTCTGCGAGATCATTTTCCCAAAGGAGTGCGACCGCTCTCCTTCCCTCTCCCCTATTAAATAATCTTCACTCTTTTACAAACAAAACCATTGGTTTGCTGTTATATGATTTTGTGTCTTTGCACCCTAGGCTCATGAGAGTTGTGTGCATATGAAGGTGGTTATTTCAGAGCGCCTTTTCCTGACGTACTGTGTGCAGAGCAGTTTTTTATTAGTTTAACGGTAGTCTGTGGTTTTAAGCCAGTCTCACTTTCGTTTTTCTAGCGAAATCTTCAGCAGCTCCCTGCGCTTGACCTAGGTCGTTTCAGCTTCATGTCAACCAAAGTATATCTAAATGTTAACCAGAAGGTTAGAAATTATTACAGTATTTATTATTCAAGACAGGCCCATGATTGGACACATGGTTTATTAGAGTGCTTTTTATTATTGTTAGGCTTTTGATACTTTGATGCAGAATTTTTATCAAATGACAATAAAATCATGGTTGGGTTTGGTAACTTCACAGTTAATGTTATAGATGGATTTTCCTATCTAATCATTAAGCCTAGAAGTTTCTGAAAATGTAAACAAGTATCAAAAATTATTACGTTCAAATTACATAACCTCTCTTTACTGTTTTAAAACATTTGGATTAGTGGTCTTTTTCTTGAATCATAGTCGTGATTTATAATCAACCGTGTTCCACTGTTTTTAGAACATGCTTTTATGTTCTTACGGAAGTGAGCTGAGTAGGTTGTAAAGTCATTTTTGGACACTCTTCCCATACATCCTGTATTCTGGGACCATGCCTTTTAAAGTATAATGGTCAAGTAACACCCTCCAGCTTCTGGAAGGAACCAAAACCAAATTCAAACAATGTTTCATTTTGCCATATAAGTGTTAGTGGCCCCTGCCACACCCTGTCTTTGAAAGTCTGTTATGTGTCCTCTGTGGGCTCTCTGAGAGAAGTATAAGCTTAAGAATTTCCAGGAGAAATGTCTGGCTTCCAAGTTCCTTACGGTGAGAACAAAGAGCTAAATGCAACATGTTCAGTTTGGTGTAGAGCTGGGGTAAGAAACTTCCTATAAAGGGCTAGATAAATAATTGTGGGGCATGTGGTCTCTGTGGACTGCTTAACCCTGCCATTGTAGTGTGAAAGTAGCCATACATAGTAGATAAGTGAATAGATGTGGCTGTGTTCAAAATCTTACCTATGTTCAATGAAGTTTGACTTTTATGTGATATTTATTTATTTTATTTTATTTTTTAGAGACAAGAGTCTCCCTTTGTCACCCTGGGTAGGCATCACAGCTCACAGCAACCTCCAGTTCCTTCCTGGGCTTAGGCAATTCTCTTGCTTCAGCCGCCCAAGTAACTGGGACTACAGGTGCCCACCACAATGCCCAGCTATTTTTGTTGTTGTTGCAGTTTGGCTAGGGCTGAGTTTGAACTCGCCACCCGCAGTATATGGGGCCAGAGCCCTACTCACTGAGCCACAGGCACTGCCCTTTATGTCATATTTAGATGCCCCAAAATATTCTTTTGATTTTTTTAACCATAAAAAATTTAAAAAACATTCTTAGCTTTGAGCCATATAGAAAATGGTTTGTCCTGTAGGCCATCGTTTGCCAACCCCTAGCTTGGAGTACACAAGTCATACCCTCCTATCAGTATTTTGTTTCTCAAAAGTTTTATTTATTTGGTGTTCCAAAAAATGAAATAAAAATCTCAGAATTGTAGAAGTCTTTCTTGCATGTTGAGTTCTGGCCACAGAATACAATGCCAGATCAAAGTAGCATTATATAGATGATGAGGTAGGCTTTGTTTTCTAGTTAACCAAAGATTTAAATACCTGTGCTGCTACTTTACTTCTGTGGTTGTCACTTCCGACCTCTGCAGTTCCCTTGACTCTTTTTTTTGAGACGGAGTCTCACTGTCGTTCTCGGTAGAGTGCTGTGGCGTCACAGCTCACAGCAACCTCAAACTCTTGGGCTCACGTGATTCTCTTGACTCAGCCTCTCAAGAAGCTGGGACTTCAGGCACCCGCCACAATGCCTGGCTATTTTTGTTTTTGTTGTTATTGTTGTTTAGCAGGCTGGGCCTGGGTTTGAACCCACCAGCCCTGGTGCGTGTGGCCTGCGCCCTAACTACTGAGCAATGATTCTTTTTTTTTTATTATGCCTGCTATGTTTTTCTTCCTGTCTCCAAGGACTGTCTATTTTTCTATTGCAGTCTTACTTTCTGATTCCCTTTTTGATGTCCTGGCTCCATCATGCCAGCTCTTATTTCCTGTCTGGCAGTCTATTCATCCATTGAATTCCTCTCTTTTGACTGTTGGGATTGATAACATATACTCTAGGAGACTCCCCAGTACACATTCTGTCTCTGTCCTTCCCTACTTTTATAGTTTGAACTGACTTTTTAAAGAAAAGGCAGATAATAAATTCTTATGTCTGGAGCCTATTAAGTTTGACTTTGTAACCAAACTCCGAAACGAAGGAGGAATCCATCAGCATGGATAAATTAGGGAGTGGACTCTCAAAAGTCATTCGATTTTTTTTTTTTTTTTTAAGATAGAATCTCACTGTGATGCCCAGGCTAGAGTACAGTGGCATCAGCCTAACTCACAGCAACCTCAAATTCCTGGGTTCAAGTAATCCTCCTGCTTTAGCCTCCTGAGTAGCTGGAACTGCAGGCACTTGCCACAACACTCAGCTAGTTTTTCTATTTTTAGTAGAGATGGGGTCTCACTCTTGCTCAGGCTGGTCTCAAACTCCTGAGCTTAAGTAATAGATTCCTTCCTCAGCCTCCCAGAGTGCTAGGATTATATCTGTGAGTCACTATGCCTGGCCTGTCATGTGATTTTTTTTTTTTTTTTTAAAGAAAAAGAGATCTGAGTTTATTTAAAAGGGAGTTCATTTTCATTTCTTTTGCTTCTAGTGCTAGCATATCTTTTAGTAGTAGAGATCACAAAATCTCTTTAACGCTATAATTTAATACATAGTTTAAAAAAAATCTTTTTAACATGATTATTTTCCCAGGCCAGAAATGGAACTAGAACTAGTTCAATGGAGCACATACGTATTTGGGATTAATTAGTATAATTGTGGAATGTAGCTTTCCGTGTTAAGGTAATGAGAATTCTTTCCTTAAGTCTGTGAAAGATATACTGGTGAGCATGGTCATTGAACAAGTGGGTTGACTCTTTGTACATAAAAAAATACACATGCCCCTTCCCTAATCTAGTCCTTCCTGGCTGGACCTGGCCTCTTTAAGAGTCTCTACTCTCAGATATTTGATAGAATTTAGGGCAGAGAGACCTACTTGGGAAGTGGAGAGAGGCTGTTAAACATTTCCATTAGATAATGCGCAGTCACATCCTAAAAATCTTAAAAAGGAGAAGGGGATACATGAATACTATGATTTTTAAAATTTATTTGCTGCCAGACATAAACTGATAATTGATCTACCAGGGGTGTGGGGGTGGGGAGAAGCTCATCACCAAAAGATAGAGTATAATTGTGAGATTAGTTCATTAATGTTTCCATATGTTCGTGTCACACGCACCACAGGTTTGCCAGGAGCATGAGGGAAGTATCTGAAAGAAAGTTTTCAGCTCTTTGGTTAACACAGATGACTTTGTACATGTATGAATAAGTGTAATGGATTCTATATACCTGGGAGTTCATGAACCGGATGAAGGGAGAGGGGCTGGTGGAATTTCTACCATTTAATAGTATGTTCTCTAAGAGGGAGAAGGAAAGTGAATCCTTAGTCTTTTATTATATTCCCCTGTCACTTTTCCATTTCTTCCTGAAAAAACCTAGATATTTCCAGACCCTGCCAGTTCTTTTTTCACTTACACATCAAATTGGATTCTCTGACCTGGCTGCTTAGCTGCTGTTTGCCTTTGTACTCTGCATCACGTTTATTTAGCATGGAATATAAAAGCTTCAGATTCTACGTCTATCAGCAGTGTTTCAAGCTCAGTGGTGCTGTTGTTGAAAAGTTTCTTAGAAG